GATACATTTTACAGGAATACCCAAAATCTTAAACATACTATGTTATTTCTCAAAACTCCTAAAAATGCCTCAAATTTCTCAAATCATAACATGACAAGGGTGTCATGTTATTGTCATAAATTGTTGATAAATACAGTATGATATGCATTGTCCTAAACTGTGATTGGAAGGAAAAGACTAAAAGCAGAAGAATGGTGAGGAGGATGGTAGATTCACTCAAGTGACCTTGCAGCTGTGATTGCCTAGGCCTGCAGATTAACAGTATGGGAAATCTCATATATTATGTTTTCTGCTGTTTATCCTGTGTTTTGAGAAGTAGAATATCTGTGTTGAGATGGCATAGGTGTTCACAGAGACTTGGAGGCACTCTCATGGACAAGCCTGAGATTGCTGTCCTGAGAGAGAGATCAAAGCTCAGAAATCATAAAAAGCACACAAAGATCACAGCAGGGTGGTACAATAAGTGGCAGAGGGGTGCAAACAGCAGCCCCAGTGCCCATCAGAAGGGCTGAGCCTGGCAGTGCCTGTGCTGCCCCTCCTGTGTCGCTGCTGCCCAGGTGCTGCTTCAGCATCCTCCAGTTAGAGAGGTAATGAAAAAAATTAACTCTTCACATTTCAGCCTGGGTTTGTGCTTGTTCTGGCCACCTGCCTGTTTCAACACACACCCAGCCAGTAATTGTGACTGTGGTCACAAGGGTTTTCAAGATGAAGAAGAGACGAGAATGTTGACTCCATGATCAGAAGGCTTGATTTATTATTTTATGATATATACTAAAAAGAAATAGAAAGGAAAAGGTTTCTTCAGAAGCTAGCTAAGCTAAGAATAGAAAAGAATGAATAACAGATCTGTGTCTCAGACAGAGCAAGAGCCAGTTCTGCCATGAGTGGTCAGGAAATCCCAACATCCACAGGAGACCAATTACGGGTCTACCTGTTGCATTCCACAGCAGCAGATAACCATTGTTTACTTTTGGTTGCTGAAACTGCAGCTTCTCACAAGGAAAAATCCTAAGAAAGGATTTTTCATGAAAGATGTCTGCGACAAATAATGCAATGTTTCAGTTTATTATAAAAATTATGCTGGCAAGTGCACTCTTCAGTCACTGTCTTTGCTGATCTCATGAGGTTCTCCACAGGCTGTCTCAGAAAGGTGCTACTTGCACCCCTGAACTTGTTGCCATTAGATGCCCTTCTCACAGGGCTGTAAAATGTGAATTTTTTTCAGCTTTGTATCTGAAATAATTCTTTTGGTTGATGTGGTCCACTACTGGTGACTGTCTGAAAAAATACAGCTGTAATAACACTGAGGGAATGATAATTTTCAGTCCCCTAGCCTTCACCTAGATTTAAGTGAAGAGCATCCTGGAAGAGAAATGCTGGAAAAATACTCCACCTGCAACTGAGCATGGAGTCATATTTTCTGACAAAGGGTGCACAATTTTTTTCTTTCTTAATTTAAAGTACCTTTGGTTTATTAAGAGGTAGAAATAAAACTCTAAGAGTGCAAATTAGTCCAGGAAGATCTAATATCTTTTTGGATTATATCAGAACATAGATAATTTAAAGTATGACATGAAAACAAATATTCACCAACTAATATCAAGCATGGAAGGACAGTCCCAGAAAAGCAGACTTAACAGCACCAGAGGTTCTCACTTAAAGCTGTCTTAGGAGGTAGGATCTGCCAGAGAAAACTTCCAACAGATTTCTATACTGTTAGCAATCCTTCCAAATGAGCCCACTGATTTGAAAAGTACTTGGAAACCTTTGGGACATTTTCTGATCTTTTTTAGTCACAACAGGAAGTTTCAGTAACAAAAACCCCAGAAAAGCCAGTAGGGCAAGCCATTTATCAAACTTCCTCAAGTTAAACAAGAGGAGAATTGTGCTATAAGACAAATGTTATTGTTTCAGTTGCATTTGGTAATTCAAAGTGAAGCCTACAAATGAGATATCTCATTAGTTTGAGCAGATGGATCAAAATTAAAGACTGAATCACCAATTCTTAATTTCCCAGTAGCCAGGAAGAGCTGGAAGTCTTGCAGAGGATGAATGTTGGAAAATCAACATAAAAAGCTTCTCTCCATCTGTCAAAACACATGCCTATAGAATGCAACTACTCCTACCAACCTCAGCCTTAAAAAATGAAAATACACATATATCTAATAAAAACACATGGACATTTAACTCTAGCCAAACATCACACTACAATATGACAGTGACACATCAGCATGAATTCCATAAGAGTAAATTATTTAGTTCTGCTATGATAGAATTCTTTGAGAATGAACAGAACAATAGATAAACAGTGCTGAATTTAATTCATTAAGACATTCCAAAGACTCTGGTCAAGAATCTTAAAAGACACAACATTGTGAAAACTTGATGGCCACAGGAAAATCTACATTAACTCAAGCAACTTTAGTGAAGGAAAGTGCTTTTCTCTGGTTCTGGTATTTCCTTCTTGCATTTCAGGATAAAACAGAACAGAAGTTTTAGGCTCTCTGGAGCATTGCTAATGAGATCTGTGTCTGTCATACGTTATTGCCTGAATAGGTATAAAATCTCATCCGTGTCCTGAATGTCTTACAGATACACAACACCTATGGAAATTTCTTCCTAAGTATTTGGGGGGAAGTGATGAAAATATCCTTTTAAGAAATATATTTAGAAGCAACCACAGCTTTGTTAAAAACCATATGAAGTTTGCACATATATAATGTTAATAAATACAAGTTTTTCAGATAACTTAAGCAAAGAAAGGTAACAGAGCATGATGATAACAGCCTATGGTGAACGTGGACACAAGCTAGAAAATCAAAGGGCATTCTCAAAATTGTGAAAAGACACTGAAGAAAACCTTTCTAATCTAGTATTAATCATATTTTCTCACAATATTCATCTTCCACTATGGGGTAGGCATCTCAATGTAAATATATCTACATGAACTTTTTTTTTGTTTCCACTTTTTAAACATCTGCAGTTGGTCTAATGATTAGATAGATCATTTTTCATAGCAGACTCATTAAATGGAAAACTCAAATTTTTCATCTGGTACAGTACTACATATTATAATTAGACAATGAGCTGATGTGCTTGATTCTGCATGGTCAAAGCCTGTATACTGGCACTTGCATTTAATTAATCTCAGGTTATTATATTTTGTTTAATAAATATCAAGACCAATATGAATTAAAGAGTCCCAAGAGAAGTTCAGTGTAACTGGTTGCTATTTACATGCTCTAAATGAGAGTTCTGCAACACAGCAGAATGAACACTTTGAAACAAAGAAAATTTACAACCATATGAATGAAATTAACCAAAGTGGTCTGAAATCAAACCAGCATTTATATAGCAAGAGAAACCACACTTCTGCTTTGTCCAAAATTACACTTATATGGCTCTGTTGGTTTGAAATACAATTTTCAGAAACTGAGATCAGCAACAGTGTCCTTTGCTGAAACTGTAACATTAAGGAGCCTACAGTTCTCTTCACCTGTTAAAACTGCAGCTCATGCCTTAAAACAAAACAGTCTTGTATTCAGCTGCTAGCACAAAAATCAAAACTATTCTCAAGAAAAGCTACAAAAACATCTCCTACTAGAATTGAACAACTTACTGTATTTGAATCTTTTCAAATAACATCATATATGTTTGCAGTCACTTTTTTCCTCAGTGTGAAGAAAAGAGAGGGGAAGAAAGGTGCAGTAAATATGCCAAAATGGCATAAAGACTCTCTGCTGGGAATCCAAGATACATTACTTAGATACTACTGATTTAAAGACTCTGCCACTTGCACTTCAGCAAGTGAAAATAAACAAAATCAAAACAAGAAATGAAAGATAAGAAACTAAATGCACTTCAGTGTTAGGAATTTGGTAATGTTTTTGCATAATCGACAAGGAGGAGAACCCGACCAAAAGTTCCCTTGGTGCTGCTAAAAAATTTAATTAACAGTCTTCACTCAGGAAAATAACAATATTTCCATAAGTAATCTTCATGAAAGTTTTCTGAATGTAACAACAATAACTGATATCAACAAGAGGAGATAAGTGGAAGAATGGAGTTAAGCAAGGCAGTGGGGCAGGAGGACTAGAAGGCTGTTGCTGAAGTATTTTTTCCCTTCCCAAGTCATAAACCAACTGTTCATCTTTCAAAAAACACAAGGAATTTTTTTGTGAAAACCAAAAAAATGTGCACTTCTTACTGCAACTGTACAGGATAGACTTTCCCTCTTTTATATAAATGTTATTTACTGAAAAGGCCCTTCAAGCATCATAGAGCACTAGCATTTGTTCTTGCTTTGAAGAGGTGCCATACCTGCTTTATGTGCAAAGTTCTAACAAAAAAGAGACATTGTGTGGGAGTAATTCAGGACCACAATCATACCAGAATGAGAAACTATTCAGGCAAATGAGTTAGGCCCATATTCTTAGTTGAGGGGAATGTCAGACTTGAAAATTCACTGCAGAAACCTCTATTGTAAGGAAAAATGAAGGATTACTTCCTTTAAAAAGAAAACAAAACACAAACCCCAGGATATTTCAAATGACTTATGCTGAGCCCTTACACACCATGTCTTGAACACTGAGTAATTCTCATCTCTCATCTCTAACACAAAAGACAAGAATTTGAAAGATATAGGAAAGGCTAAGAAGAATTATTAAGTGCTCCATTTTTGATTTTCTTAATCTTTAAGTGTACCCGTTGTAAGGTCTCTAAAGTACTGACCTAAATTGCCTTGTAATTTTACAAAAAGAGACATAAATACACATTAATTACTTTACAGATATATAAAGAACTGGGAATTTTGACCTCTGTTAGAAGCTAACACTATTTAGTCAGTTTACATTTTCTTGCATGCTGTTTCTATGAAGTGTTTGTAGGGTTAGAGGCTACCTCTGAAGTGACATATAAAAGAATAATTCTCAATACATCCCTGTGATGATTTAAATTTTTTATGTATGTTCTGAATGGAAAGTAAACTAAAAAATAGATACCTGGTGTCCAGCCATTATTTGCTTCAGTACACTTTCATAACATACTTCATCCATATGATTCAGCTGCTGCACCTGAAAAAGAAACATCACATCCATATTAAAATAATTTCTATCTTTATGGATTGTCTACTATGTATCAAGCAATTTAGAGTGATCCATGAAAAACAAATTTGATTATGCAATTAAATTTACAGTTTATCAATTTCCATTCCAACAATAGCATTTTAGTTTTAAACTCAGGAATAAAACATGAAAATACATACATAAAGTATGAGTAAGGGCAGTTAAGACAAAATTTATTATGTGAGTTTGCTGGTGTTTTTAAATGACCAAAGAGAAGTAACCCAGTTCTTTAATTTATCTGTTTCATATTAGGCAATCTTACTCCTACAAGATTTTGAGGAAATATCAATTTAATATATCTTATCTAGAATTAAGGGTTTCTATTTGACATATTTTACATTGCATGCATATATATTTTTTTATCTCCAGAAAATTATTGATAGTTTTTTTGCCATATGAGATTTCTTCATAGTTGGGTCATGCACAGAGACCATTGTAAGTACCATGTACAGAGTTTCCAATTATAGATAAATAAAATGTTTAAGGAATATTCCAGTTGAAATAAAGAATATTGTTCAACCTAACATTTTTTTTTTCTATTTCTTTAATGTATTACAATATAAATAGCATATATCTACCTGAATGCACCTCAGTATTAACATTGCAACAAATCAAAATAAATAAATAAAGTCCAATATCATAGCAATAATTCCATTCTTCACTTGTGCTTTTGTGTCTTACAACCAAATTGTTTTGGCACAAAGAAATGTTCTACATAAGCAAAGCAGGTACATATTTCAAAATGGAAATTTAATACTTGGACTTAATACTAGAATAGATGAAAGTTCAAAAACTAAGCTTTAAAACAGCTTTATAGGTAAGAGAACATTTGTCTTTCAAACTTTATAGATATAGTAATAAAAAAATAAGAAAATATGGGCACATGTGCTAAAGACAAATACTCAGTCTAATTATTCTTAAATTGAGAAGTCAGCATTTTACCAAATATTTTTTTTCAAATAATAGCAAGTGAAAATCATTAAGGAGAAACTGACAAGAGCAGTGCATGAAGACACATGAACATATATACATACATACACATACCATAAAATTAACTTTACCTATTCTTTACATTTATACCTAAAGACAAAAACATAAGCATACCTAGAGAAAGAAGACTGATATTAAAGAAAAATATCTGACATTAACAGACCTTGATTGAACAAGTCAAACCTTAGTCTTGGTGCCATATGCTCCAAGAATTTCAACATAGAGAGTTTTAAGAGCTTTTCTGGATAACTTCTATGCATAATAAATACATCATGCTGTTCTTGCCTTTCAAAGCTTGCCTACAGTTTGCACGTGGCTCTGTAAATTGATAATTGGTTCCAAAATTTTGGGGGAGTTTTTTTTGGATGCAGGATTTCAGCAAACTGTGGCAAAGCCTTTACCTAAAGTAAGTAAAAGTGAGTCTTCTATCTCCTGCAACTCATTAGTGCCTATGGACACAGCACTGACTGCACTTGCTGATGGTCTGCAGTAACAGCTTTTGATCGTGGACTTTCTTCCATTGCTTTCCTCCTCTCATGAAGACCACAAGGATGTTGATATTGGCAATAATTAGGCAGCTTTAGTATTAGTATTATCCTGAATACAATCCTTTTTCAAAGAGGCTTAATACTTCTATTGTCTGCTCGCTGTAAATGTATTATCTTGATTGTAAAATATATTTTGCTATGTGAAATTGTAATGACAATCTTCTGAAAAATAAAAGAATATCTCCTGACTGTAGTATTATCAAAACAGGTATTTACATTTCAGAATAACTATTACCTCCTAATATTTCCTCATCTCCTTATGCTTCTTTGGAAAATTACTGTTTTTTAAATAATTTCAAATTTTAGGAGATTTATTTATATCTTTGATTTTTTGAATCCTAAATGCATTCTAAAGTGAGTTGGAAGAAAGGGAGTATTTTCTCTTTTCTTACTATATAGAGAAGATAATATTAGAATCAAGTAGCAGTTAAAGATGAATTGAAAGTAACAGCAAGTAAGAGTGAAGGTATTAAAAGCAATTAATGAAGACTAAAATATGCAAATAATGGTAAGCACCATATGGTAAACTAGTCTTATGCATATAGATTTGAAACATATCCCCACAGTTGTAAAATAAATTCCTCTCCTGCACTGCAGATGGAATGACTACTGAAATAACCTAGTAAGAAAGGCAATATCCATTTTTACAAAAACTAAATAAAATGCTATGATTGATTAAGCCACAAAATTAACTTCTGATTGAAAATGTCTTGATTTCTATTAATTTAAATCACATGTGAACAATATTTTTTGAAAAGTTTAACTACATAAACTTTAATATAAGATAATGAGATGCATGGGAAATCTATGTAAAGTGTTTGTATAAATTCCTGTATTTAAAGAATACAGGAATTTACACATCAAGTGTCACTGTACTAATGATTTTTAATAAGAATATTATACCTGTCTATTTGTCTTAATGCTTCCCAAAATGAGCAATAGCACAAAGAGTAAAGAAGCTTATTTAGGGGTTACTTTAAATACAGTTTCTATCAAATATGTACATATGACAATTAATGGCTTAGCATGCTAAGGTTTTCATCAGTAACTTTAGTATTAATGCATGTGTATATATATGTATATATCCCGATTAAAAAATTTAGTATTTTTCTTATAGCATTCCTCATGCATCCTTACAGCCAAAGAAGATGCACCACGTGGAAACCTGCAATGCAAGAGGCAGAATAATCAGCTGCTAATATGACTCTGCAGTTGAAGGTGATGACTTCTTCTTCACCAAGCAAAATTTAGCAGTGAAGAAGAGGCAATGCAAAGTTAAATAACTTTGTATCCAGCTGCAACAAGGCCTGCTTACAAGTATGGCAAACTGAAGAAAGAAGATTCTTAAAGCACCTCTCAATTATGTACATCTTTACACCAAAGAAAATATGCTTCAAAAAACACCTGTAGTATAATAAACAAGTACCCCATGCACATACATACATGAAGCATGGTCAAAAAGAGACCACAAACAGCAACCCTTTCTCAGGCATTCACAATTCCTTACCTTGTTGGTTGTCTTGATCCCTATAAAGGTTTGTCCCAGAGGTACGGGTCGGAAACGGCCATCAAAGTAGAATAATCCAATGTAGGGATTGACGTGTAGAAATGTAGCAACATCAAGATAATTGGGTAATGTGGCTGAAAGGCCCAAAATCCTAATCATGCTTTGTGTAGATTCAACCTATTAAAAAATCATAAAAACTGTAAATTTTCTAAGTGTTGTAAGCCAAGGAATCAAGCAGAGAGTTTTAAAACATCCCTTATAAAACATTAATGTGAAAGAAACAGATAACACTCTCTACAAAAGGTGAACAATACATGTGAGTTGGTGATTATCCTGTATTGAAGAAACCAGTGCATTCTGCAATTCCATCAAATCTTGCTTATTCATCTTTCTATTTTATTGTACTTTTGCCCTCCAAAAGGTGAGCTAGTCCTTAACTGACATGGAGGAACAATAGCAGAAAACTGGCTTTGTTAAGAAGTCCAATTTATAAGCAAAACTGTGACACTGATTTGGTCTTTTCTTCCTTACTCCACATCAGACCACTGTTCTGGAAAGAAAAAGGAATTTAATTTGTGCCACTCCTCCATCTTAGGTTTTTGTTTCCACTATTCTCTTAGACAATGTATTCTAGTTCTCTGTAACTGGCATTTTATTCTAATTTCTTCTTTTTAAAAATCTTTAATTCCTCAAATGTTTGGTTTACATGCCTTCTCATTTAATAAGGGACAGAAATGGTGCTTTACAACTAAATGTTCTGTTCTATACTAGAGCCTGCATATTATATGTATTTTCAGGTAATTTTCAAAAAGAATGAAAGCACACAGAAGACCTGAATGAAAAAAGTACACAAAAATTTTCCCATTTCCTTCTGGAACATTAGGAGCTGCGTAGGCTGGCTCACAACTAGCATAATTATTTAAAACCAGAGTTCACAGTAATTTTATTATAAAGCCTTTTTAGACACTGTAACTGAAGCCACATATAACATTCTCAACTAGTCTCAAATGGGTGAATGTCTCAAGATGAGTAAGGCTGGTAAATTCCACCTGGCTAAATCCTATTCAAAAAATATAACGTTTTACTTAGATTTTGATTTACTCGCCTGTTTTGAGTTCAAGTGAAAGTAATGTAATTAAAACAATTAATTTAAAAGTTTTCAAAATAGATGATTAAAAAGTAAATGGAGAGCATTCTCAAGGAAGACAAAATAATACCACACCATAACTCAGACCTGAAGAATAGGAAGCACACCAAAATATTAAACTAAATCTTAAAATGAACCACGGACCCAAACACCACAGACAACGAGCAGGCCAAGTAAACCACTACATTGCCTGGTAACAGACATGTTCTATGGCAAAATTCTGGACACTAAAACTGTGGCTGCAAACAAATTAATGACACAGAAAAGCTGCAGACTCGTTTTGCACTTGCACATGAGCAGTTTTCCAAAGCAAAGCTCCAGGTACAATAAAATATGATATGTAAATGCAAGCTAGGAAAAATGAGATTTCATTTTCTGAAGTCTTCCATCTACAGGGAACAAAAGCAGTGTTTAAGAGCACAAAGAAGTTTTCGCACTTCTTATACAACTTTTTTTGGCTGGATTATGTGATGACCTAAGGGCTACAGCCATCATCAAGCACATAGTTCTGAGGTGTTTGAGGTTTGGGGTTTTTTTGAGAGGTAGTGGAGGTGTGCAGGGTGGGTTGTTTCCTGCTTTGTCTGTTTGGGTTTTTCTGGTTTTGGCATGGTCCCATGGAGTGCCACATCCTTCTGCACTGACCTTAGTGTCTGCAGTGCTGTTTCCCAGGTTTTTTCCCTCCCATCTGCTATGCTGTTTTTACCCTTCCTTAGCCATGCTTTACCAGAGGTGCCACCACCTCTGGCTGGTCGGAGCCCCCTGTAAGTGGCCACATCTGGCTCGTTGAGCCACAGCCATCCCTCCCCACAGCCACACTGCAGCCAACACCTGGGCATCTGTGGGGCAAAGCTCTTCATTTACTCAGGGCTTATACACTCTATTTTTAAGCTTGGATCTGTAAGCACAATTACCACTTGCTGATATATGTACCCTGTAGATTGTTCACAATTGCCTAATAAGTACAGCAATCTTAAAGTGTAAGTGAGCTCCCATCTGGAAAACATTACTTGATTTTGCTAAATTCAATAACAGTATTTTTTTTTTCAAATCTCCTAAGAGCCTGAAAGCACTAGTTTGAAAGTATGCTGGCTTCCATCTGAAGGCAAGAAAGCATTTCAAGTATTTCAAGTATTTAAACAATTAACAAGAACATTGCTTAATTACCATGGACATATGTATTTTTACAGCAATTAAATGTAAGATGTTTTTTCAAAGATTTCTTTTAAAATAAAAACAGTGCCTAGAGAACAGTTACAATTTCTTGAGAGCTGCCACACTTTCAAAACCAAAGTAAAACAAAGAAGCCACTTAATGTCGCTGACCTGGCAGGTGGCCCTGGAGCTAAGGATCTTTCTGAGAACCCCAAATTAACATTCCAATGACAACTGAAGCTGACAGTTAACACAAGCAAGTAATTAAGATTACTAATATATTTAGAGCACATTTTTTAAACTCCTTCCACTAGACCAGGTTGTTCAGAGTCCCAGCACTACAAGAGATGGGACATCCACATCTCTGGGAAACTTATTCCAATGCCTCACTCCCTTCACAATCAAGAACATCTTCCTAATATCTAAACAAAACCCACACTTAGTTTAAAGCCAATCCCCCTTGTCTTATCACTACTTGCCCTTGTAAAAAGTCCCTCTTCAGCTTTCTTTTAAGTGCCCTTCAGGTACTGAAAGGTAGTAAGATGACCCAGGTGCCTTTGTTTATTGAGGCTGAACACTCCCAGTTGTCATAGCCTTTTCCCAAGGGGAAGGTACTCCATCCCTCTAATCATCTTAATAAGACTCTAAATCATTCCATCAATTCCCTTAAGATCTTTTGAGGCCATGAAAACAAAAAAAATCTTTATTTTTTTACAATCTACTTTCGTATTTGCTCACCAAAAATATATATAATTTATATAAATATATAAAATAATCAAGATGCAAAAAGAGGGACACTTACACTAAAATAAAAATTGTATCAAAACAATCCTTCAAATTATTTTATGTCCAGATCAAATTCAAACCTATGTGTTTAGTTTATGCACATCATTGCATGCTGATAGAAAACAAGGGGCTTTTATTCTTTTAATTATACATGGCAATATAAAACCAGCAGTGACTAAAACTGTGCTAAACTTAAAAAATAAAAAAAACAGGACTACCTGAATATGCAACTATAACACGATTTATTTTTTGCATTCTCTCTGTGATTATTGCATAGACCCAAGTAAAATTATAATTCAGTTATTAATCCAAGTGATTATAATTCAGTTTCAACTATGTATCTATTATTCATCTATCCAAGCACTTCAGAAATTTGATTTTTCCATAATGGCTTATAGAATTCCATCACATTTTTATAACAGAGTTCTCTGCATACATTTTTTGACTACTTTTCTGACTTCTCCTTGAAGACCAAGCACTAACATCTTTTATTCTCAGGTGCTTCTAAAGAAAAATAAGTCTTGAAAGTGTACAGATGCCTTTTGTAAATACAGATCATTCAAAAATTAGTATTTTTCAACTACTGGATCACTTATTATTTGATCCTAGGAGTCCCAACTAGATATTATGCCTTCATATACAAGAAACCATGAACCCACAGCCTTTCCCTGAAATGGCAGTAGAAATTACTGATAACACAATTAGGATGACAAAGTTTTCTGTTTACATTGCGTACTGGAGGCTGGTGGTAGGCAGCTAAGTGCCTTTTCTTCACTACTGAAGCTCAGCCTCTAACATTTCATTCTTTATATGTGTTTAATTACCCCAGTAAAATAATAAGCACCATTTGAAACTTAGGAGGCTTTCCTTGAAAACCTGAACTGACACAGTATTTGCACACCAGGTTCTTTAAAAGCCTTACTATGTTTTACTGGTTTGATGTCACGCTGGAAGCGAGAAATAAAACTGACATTGCTATATTTAATTGACATGTTTAACTAGTATATCTAATTCAGAAACATTCTTGATGGCATGTGGAGAATTGACAGCATTCACAGAACACAATTACCACACCATGAAATTCCACGTATGCAGAAAAAATAATCAGAAGATAGCTATCCCAGTATCGATTTCCACGCAAGCATCATCTGCGTTTACGCTGTAAATGATGAAGGATCAGGTATGGGAAGTGCCTCTCTGGATTGTAAATTGATCACAGCAGGATCATTTCCTTCTAATAGGTTTTTAGATTTGCATATCGCTACATTACAGCCGCCACTTGAGAGCATACAGTGTGTGCATAGAGATACTCTTTTATCTGACTTCTAAAGTTCTTCCTGAACTTTTTGATCTTGGCAGCCTTCCCATTTCCATATATTAAAATATCACATTCACAGAATGAATTACAATCAAGCTGGAAATCGTACCTCTGATTGTTCAACTTGAGCACAGAATTAAGCGCAGCAGACAAGTTTACACATTTTAATCTTTGAAGAATTGTCTGCTGGTTAGAAATTAATCTGATATTCAGATGACCCAGGATCAGTTCAACACTCCCTCTGCAGTCAGTCTTTATGCCCTTCAGATGTACACTAACGACAGGATACTCAGAAAATTAGACACAAGCATGTCTCAGCTTTTAGTGCAGATGTGCAAGAAGATGAACCTTAAATTAGGTCCCCTGTTCAGTGGTAGTAATAATGAAGTACTGCATATGGGGGTTCACATTAGTTATTAGTTGGATACTATCCTACACACAGAACGCATCACAGGATCTGTGCTCTTGATCTAAAACAAGGGAGAAAAAGAAATGGAAAAAGAATTGAGTAGGGCTCAGAACATTAAAAAAGAAATAAAAATTAATGCTTTAAAATTACTAAGCAGGAAGTTTGTTAGAATATTTCATCGGTGTTTATTTGTTTATTGCTTGCTAGTAATGAAAGAGTTAAATTGTCAATAAGTCCACATAGGTGCAGTTGTCTAGTTTTAAGAACAGAAATGGAAAAAAACAGTGAAATTGCAAAACCTAAGTACATAGTAAAAATCCAATTACTAATACAGTTTTGAAGATTCTATATAGGACGTTATCTACA